TTCCTCCTCTGATTGGAAACCCTCTGCAGTCTGGGTCCCTGAACATGGTTACTCTTTGACTGTGACTTCCTGGGGGTGGGATGCTGGCCTTGGAAGGAGGGTACTGGACCATGTATCTTTGTCTGCCTGCCTAATATCTTAACACCTGAAGAAGACATAACCCATTGATTAATGACACACAGAAACATCCAAACAGAAAGGCTGCATAGAATGGAAAGCATCCTCTGAACAGTCAGGGTTTGTTCACACACAGAGCAAATTTTCAAGGTAAGCTCTAAAGCTGCGATAACTAAAGGCAGCTTCTTTGTTTTAAAAATGGATACCAGTATCTCAGAAGCTGCTTTGGTTGCTTATGTATTGCTTGTAGAGAGAATATGCTGCAGTAGTCTGAAACAAAAAGGGTCTTATATGCTTACTACCTTCCTCCAAAAATGTTGGGAGTTGTAGAAGTTCAGAACCTAATTACCAGTCTAATTAAGATTGCAGAAAGGTAAGCAGGTTAATAATTAATGTAACAGCCAAAATATGACCTTGCACTTAAAATTGAGACCACATTAACTATTATAAATAGTTTGTGGCAGAACAATAGACTTGACTAAGGACCTTCTTGGTAGCCCTTTGGCTCAGGTACAAGGAACTGGCAGCAGTTCTGCTTCTCTAGTGACCCATCTTCCCACCAAAAGGAAACATTCCTATTTTGTATACAGTCAGTATCCAGTAAAGTGACCACTTGTAAGTTGCCAAAAGAGGGGAAATTCATTACCAAAAACAGGACGAAAGTGGACAACAATTTGCAAAAAAAAATTTGCACAAGCCACAAAAAGTTAGCAATGATTAATATAGTTTTAATAGCCATCTCACTACAGTGGGGAGGAGTGTGACCAGGTGACCTCTGTACCTTGCTCAGCCTGATGTCCAGATGTTCACTGATGATGGGCAATTTGAAGGCCCCACACTTCCTTCTAATGGGTCTATGTTTTTATACTGGATGTGAACTGGACATTCTGCAAGTAGAGAATGCCTTCAGAATAGAGTTGTTCACACAGAGAATTCTTTTCTGTGAAAGAGGACACAGGACAACCTGTCCCCAGTCTCTTGCTTCCAAGCACTACTAAATTTTACAGCTTGCATCAGATAAGGGACGATGAAAGCAAGAAAAGATACAGCTGCAGCAGCATCTGGGTCCGTGCTTAATCCTGTTCTGGCAGGCGGCACTCTCGTGGCAGGCAGAACTCATGCACCCATCCAGCTTGAGCTGGTTTGCAATATGAACAGAGTGCTAGATCAGATGGACCATTGGTTTTACCCAGCATGGCTTTTCTTAGGCTCTTATGTTCTTATATTAACATATAGATACTGTGTTACAAAGACAGAGATCGATCTGAGCATTGGATCTTTTGTATCTAACACTTTGGTGTTACTTGATACATAGGTGTTTCTCTTCCAGCTGCAATTTATTTATTTATTATAATGCTATCCCATCTTTTTCCCTTCAAGGAACTCAAGGCAGCTTATATAGTTCTCCTGCTCTCCATCTTATTCTCTTCTCCATTTATGGTTCAAAAGCAGAGAACTGGAACAGTGAGCAAGCTCTTTCCAGATTTTTTAAACACATGCTAAGCTTATAAGCTATTCATTTTATAGCACTGCCCAATGCTTGTATGCGAGGCATCAGTCTCACTGGTTGTGCTGCCATGATGGGAGGACTGTGAATAAGCTGCATGGCCTCTTGGCCTCACCATGGGGTTTCCCACCCTCACTGTGCTCTCTCCTGACCTTCTGCCCGTCCATATTTCTTTCTTTCAAAATGTTTGCAAATGTTTTCATTTTTATCAGGTTTTCAGAGGTGCACACGTGTGCAGTTTCAACTATTCCAAAACATTCAGCTGGTACCCCTTCAAGGCCCCCAATGGTTAAAGGACCAGAGGTGCTCTCCATGGATACGGACAAAGTGAGGCTACCAATAGGTTAAGTTGTTGCTTTACTTCTCATCGGACAGCTGTCAGAAAATGAGTTTTCTAGTGAGAAGCAAAGGCATGAGGGGATTGTTGCTGGTGAAAAAGAGGGGCAGGTTGATCTCCCCCTTTGTGCTGAGATCCTCTAGTATTTTACAGCCAAAAAAAAATCAACATAAAATTAAGAAAATATGGTGCCTCAGAAGGAATCAGCACCTTTGGAGTTACCAGGCCATGAGGTCTCACAACCTGTGGTCACCTGAACAGTCAAATTGGCCAGACTGTTGGGGGAAGAAACAAAATGATTCCTTTATCCAGTGGCAGTGGGAAGGGGTGGCCTAGAGAGGCAAGACAGAAGGACGTTGAGGCCTGGACAATGGGCACAGTACATAGGAAGGAGAGGAGGACACAGTTAAGGGGGAAGGGACATAGGGGACTTCCTCCTCTGCCTGGGGAGGTGGTGGGGGCAGTATGAGTGTGAGGGAAGAATGAGAGGAGGAGCTGGAAAGCGAAATGGGAGAGGAAAGCAAGGCCAGGAGCTGCGAGAAGGAGGCGCATTGAGGTGGACAGGTGAGAGGGAGGGAAAAAGCAAGGCTAGGGAGTTAGAGGTGTAGGGAAATAATGAGTTAAAGTGTGGGGAGGGAGATGTCAAGGCCAGTGCTGGGAGAAGGAAATAAGAAGGAAAAGCGGTAGCAAGGAGAAAAACAGGCTAGAGCAGAGAGAGAGCTTGAGGCTAGAAATGATAGAGTCTAGGAGAGGAGAAAAGAGCAAAGGGGAAAGGTCCTTGCTGAAGGAAGAAGGTTGGGGAGAGCCAGGAAGCACGCCTTTCCTTGTCTTCTTAGTGGAAGGTACAAGAACTAAAATCTGATGCCCTCTTGCTTTTCAGGTTTTTGCTTCTATTGAGCATATTTTTAAAGGTCAGGGAATGGAAAGTTTTGCAGGCACTAAAGGAAGTGCAAATAGGAGTAAGGATAACTGTAGAAACCAAGCTGAGGTTCTCATGGCCCAGAGGCTGTAAAGGGGCATCCAAGGTGCCAGACAAACTGTTTCTTATTGTTTGATAAATGCATGCTCTATTTTTCTGCAAGAAAACTGGGAGGTACAAGGAATAGCTTGTTTGCTCCTTAATAAATGGTGATCTAGTTTTGGACCAAAGGGGAGAAAAAGTTCAACTCTGTAGGCATCTTCCAGAGGTAAGTCCAGTTGAGTTAACTGGGTCTTATTCCCAGGTAAGCATATGACATGTTTCAGTCAAACTCAATAAAAATAATGTAACTGAATAAAAATGATGTGTATTCAGACTGATTACTGTTGGGTGTGGATAGCCATGGAAAGGGGGAAAGGGGTGAAATTCTACATTGGAAAAAAAAGTTCCTTGTGCAACTTCTAAGAACTCTCTTTAGATGTAAGGAGCTACGCAGTATGTTTATTTAAGAAAGGGCATGATCTTATATATGTAGACTGTTTTCTTGGCAGTCAGTCCAATGGGGATTACTCCCAAGCAACTGTGCAGAAATGTTGATAAAAAAGAGATGTGTGTGCTTTATGTGAATCAGGCTGCATGCCAGAATAAGAAGGTAATGGTCAGATAGCCTTAAAGTTTCAACAGTAGATGTTTAGTAAGTTAAATATTACTTCTATTTTATGCTGTAGTTTTGCATTTTTAAATATGTATTTTATGTTTTTTACTGTTATGAACAGCCCAGAGAACTGAGATTGTTGTAAGGTAGAGACATGTAATATGCAAACTTATAAATGCAGGTATATTTGAGGGATAGTTTTGTCTGTTTAAACTTTTAAGAATTCTGTTTCATTTTAGTCTGGAACTTACATGAAGAAGTTGGTGCCAGTCCTGAAATTTGTGTAAATAGGCTAAAAGGTTGTGTTTTCCTTTTCTTCTCCACCCCTCTGAAAAGTAAAATACTGCAGAAGAAACTGTCACTTTGCTCTTGGGTGTAAACAACCCACGCCACCTTTTCAGGCTGTTTATTTTGAAGCCACGTGATCTCACTTGGAGAGAGCACTCATTTTAGCCGGCCTTCCCCATCCTGGTGCCTGCCATATGCTTTAGACTAAATCTCCCACTATGCCCTGGCAGGGTCACCAGGGGCCTGGGATGGTGAAAGTTGTAGTCCAAAACATCTAGAGGGCACCAGGTGAGCTGCTTGGAGTTCTGGGAGGGAATTGTTGTTTAAAGCCAGTGTGGTGTCGTGCTTAGAATGCTTGGTTGGGACTCAGAGGATCCAGGTTCTAGCCCAGAATTGGGTGATTGTGGGCCAGTCAAGCCTAACACAACTCTAACCTACATTACAGGCTTGTTGTGAGGACAAAACAAAGAGCAGGGCCATGAAAGCCACAGTGGGTCCCTTGCAATGGGATAAAAGGTGCAATATAAATGTGATGCTGCTGGTGAAGATGATGATGATTTTTTTGCAAAGCTCTTTCTGAGGGACCAGTGGAGGCTCCTCCAATGTTCTATCTCTGACCACAATAGTTTGTGCAGTCTGCTGTAGAATTAATTCTACCCATTGTTAGATTTTTTAAAAGAATAACTGTATTATTCCTTCCCTTAATTAACCGTAATTTTAGAATAACTGTATTTCCCTATTTCAACTAATTGCAATTTTGTTTTTTGTTGGTGAATGACCGAATAAAAAATTGATGGATTGAAACAAAGAGGAGGGCCATGAAAGGCACCGCGGGTCTCTTGCAATAGGAGAAAAGGTGCGATCTAAATGTGGCGAAGGCGATGTTCTTGCAAGCAATGTCCTCGGGGAGAGCTGGAGGCGCCTCCTCATCCCGCGGGGAGGGCGCCTGCCGAGGAAGGCGCTGGAAAGAGACGCCGCGCAGCTCCCCGGAGGCTGCGGGCGGCGTGGGGCGAGGAGGCAGGAAGCCGAGGGATCCGGCGCGCTGAGCCCCGCGCCGCGCGGGCCGGGCCGGGCCGGGCCGCCTGAGGGAAGCCCGCCAAGGCGGCGCGGAGGAGGCGGGGCGCGGGCAGCCGGCTGCCTCTTAACGGCGGGCGCAGGAGGCAGAGGGCGAGTCGCGCTGCACCGACCGGCCATGGAGAGCGACGGCGCGCCGAGCGGCCGAGCAGTGGGCAACACGCCCGCCGGCAACGGCCGGGAGAAAGCGCCCCGCGGCGGCGAGGGGGCCGAGCGCGCCCATGCCGCCGCCGTGCCCATGCTGCCGGCTATGGAGGTGGCGGAGGAGCCGGAGAAGACCGCGCCGCGGGGCAAAGTCAAGGATCCCAGCTACAAAATCCTCTCGCTGGTAAGGAGGCGCCGGGCGCGTGGAGCCCTGCGGCGCAGCCGGCGCGCTGGGCGCAAGTCCCGCCTGCTGGCCGGGCGGCCGACCTCGCAGGGCTGTTGTGGAAATCAAATAGGGCGTCTCTTTCTCTGCTGCCCTCCGCTTGCTCGTAGGAGGAAGGGCGGCTCTTAAAAGCGATAGGACATCGATCGCGATACATTGGGGAGAGAGGGAAGCAAGTTCCCTTAGTGTGCTTTGGGGGGCTGTAATGGATTATGGTTGGCACCACTGGCTTCGCTGATCCACCTGGAAAGGGCAATATGATGTCCACCATCTAGTATAAATCCTTGGGTAAAATCCTTGATTTGCAAAAATCGTTTTTTGCCTGGACACACAACTGGGTATGCAATTGGTGGCTTGGTCTCAGCCACGAGCTCATCATCTGTGATGCTCATGCCTGATTTAGCTGTGGAACATGTGAAACAAGAATAAAGACGCTCGTGCCTCTGAGCATGTGTAGGTGTGCCCTCAAACCAATTGGGATGATGGAATGGGCAAACAGGATTTAACCCCAGCTCAGCCTTCATGTCCTTGAGTTGAACTGAAGCCCAAGTAGTGACGGGGCTGTTGGACACATGCTAGTAGTTTGATTCTGGCACCCGCTAAGTAGCACGGTTCACAGGACCAGATATTGCTAGCCATTCCAGGCTTCCCTGTCGATCTCTGGATAAATATTCAAAATTATAAAATGCGTTACAGCCTTTAGTGGTCTAGTTATTTTGGACTGCATCTCCCATCAGTCTCAACCAGCTCTGTCTGGGATAATAGGAGCTAGAGTCCTAAATTCCTGTAGGGCACTGGTTTGAGGAAGACTGGTGTATCACATATACCTTTACACCCTTTAGCCTTGCATTTGGTGTTTGCCTTTAAAGTCAAGTGGGTTTCCCTGCCTGGCTGATAAGAAAATTGTAATCTGCATTATTGATTTTGCAGCAAGGAGTGATACTTGCTCCAGGTGGAGCACATGTGGATGACTTTGTGCATGTGCAGCCTTCAGCCTAACCTCACAGGAAGGGTTTGACAGTGAACTGAGTTGCAGAAATGCAATAACCTTGAGCTGGGACACAGTGAAGAAAGACTGGAATGACCAAATATGGTTATGCCACCTCACCTTGCTGATACGCAGCCCTGGCACGCTGCCATCTGTGTTTCCCAACCAGGGACTGCTAGAGCTTTTGAACCACAGCCCCCGTCATTCTCACCCATTTGTGGGTGGATGGGAGTTGTAGTCTAAAACATCTGGAGGGCAGTGGTTGGGAAAGGCTGTTTGTTCCCACCGCTCTCCCTGCTGAGCTTCTCTAATCTAGTAGCTATTTAGTGTGGTGCTAGGGTTGCTCTGGGCATTGTTCTCTGCCACATTTTGAGAAAGCTGCAGTTTTCAGAGCTTTCCCACATATGGTAACTTGGCAGAAAGTATGTTAATGCACTTAACTCGTTTTCTGAGCCATGGCACAGCCCAGCCCAGCTGGGGACCAGTCCTCTCCCAAAGAGAACAAGCGACCCAACAGTAATGAACTCAGAGGGCCTTTGGGCTGATGAAGTGGACAATAAGCCCACAAAAGGATTCCTGCTGTTAAAATGAATTCTCTGTATCTGAAAAAAATGCTTAGTGAAGACTTGCGAACTCCAGCACAGCACTCTCAGGCATTTGATGGTACTATCCATATCCAGGATCTCTCCTACAGACCTTAATCCCTGGGATTTGTAAACAACTCTTTGATGTGAGTTAAAGGTTTAGGCTGAACTTCTAGTAGGTCTCATCGTCCAGTGAAACAAAATGGAGTGCTAGCAGGACTGCAGCCTTTGTGATTCAGGTCCTGCATAGAAAGCACTTGCATGCTAAAATGCTTCTGTAACATCTTCCAGTCTTCCAGAATATATCTGCCCGATGGGTGTTAAGAAGTTTGCTTTGGAAATAACTCTTACTAATATCTACCTGAGAATTTTCTCTTAGGAGGAACTCTCTGAGTGTGCATGCTGTATCAGCAACACCAGTGCAATTAAGATATTGCTGCACCTATTTTAAACTCCAGTAGTTACAGTGCAGGAACAAATATAAAAGGATTTACTGAAGTCTTTAAGAGAGACATCACAGAACGAGACATCAAAAATAAGACAACAAGACACGCAAAGGACATTGCAATTTGTCTCCTATCTTCTCCCTTTGCAGTTCTATTAGAGTTGCTGCAGCCAGTATAGTTTACTGCAGTGATGGTTCTTTCCCACTTTTTGTTCTGAAGCCAAAGTATGTTGCACCACTGCCTGGGTAATGTTGGGGTAACGCGAGCTCTTCTACACCGTTTGTATGGCACTGAATAGTCCAGGGGCAGGCAGCCTGTGGCCATCTAGGTGTCTGGCTGTATTGCTCCCATCGCTCAGACCTCGCTGCCACAGCCAGCGGAGAAAACTGATCAGAATGGTTGGCCAAAAACTCTGGAGGGCCACAGGTTGTCCATCCCTGAAACGTTCAGGCCCGTGGGGGCTGCCGAGGTTGATGCGCCATTTGCCAATCTTCACTGCTGCTACGTGGTTTTAAGAAGATTTTGCTGGTCTGTTGTACACTATCCTGCAACTGGTTAACTGAAATATAATTGCAGAATTAAAATCCATGGACATAGGGTGTCTGTGTGTACATAGTTGTGAAATAAAATTAGTGTGCTCAAGGAAGTAATGTCTTTTGTTCTGACTCCATCTGTGTTGTTGGCATTGGTTGTAATAGTCACCCGACACATTGCAAGAAAAAAATTATGTGTAGGCTTGTTAGATATTGTGGGTTTCTCACAATGTTCTGCATGGAATTAGCTTCCATGTAAGGGGTTGATCAAGTTTTAAGTGGATATGGTAGCTTTCATGGAAACTTTCCTTGTCTCTCAAGGGCTCTCTCCTGATGGTGCAGCTCCTCTGGTTTATGTTGAGTGGCTTCCACTCCAGTCGGAGTGGCCATGGTTTAACATTACCCAAAATGCCCTGCAGCATTTGCCAGGGTCAGCCTGGGTGGGTTTGCATGGATGGGAATACCCCAGAAGACAGAAGCAAAATTCAAAACTATCTTGATAGGTTGGAGTGCTGGGCTGAAAACAACAATGTCAGTAGGGACAAATGCCAAGACCTGCACCTAGGAAAAACAAAGCGAAAAAGAAAGTGAACACATAATTGCAAGATGGGAAATACTTGGCTCAGCAATACTGCAAGTGTGAAGGATCTCGGAATTGTCATAGATCAGAAGCTGAATATGAGTCAGCAATGTGGCTGCAAAAAGGGCAATGGCTATTTTGAGCTGCATTGATAGAAGTTTCACTTCTAACTTCTATTGATAGAGAGGAACTCACCAGTTCCCCTCCATTCAGTGCTGGTTAGGCCTCCTCTTGAGTTCTACACCCAGTACCAGGCACCGCTGTTTAAGAAAGATGCAGACAAACTGGAAAAGTTTCAGGGGAGAGCAAGTGAAGGAAATCTGGTGACTGAAAATGAAGTCCTGTGAGGAGAGACTGAAAGAACTGAGGATGTTTAACCCTGAAGAGAGAAGACTGGGGAGATATGATAGCACTTTTCAGCTACCTAAAAGTTTGCCACAGAGAGGATGGCCAGGATTACTTCTTGATTATCCCAGAGTGCAAGACATGAATAATGGGCCCAAGCTGCAGGAAACCTGATTCCAGCTGAAAATCAAAAAACGTCCAGGCTGCTAAAAGTAATCCAGCAATAGAAGCAATTACCTAGGGTGTCTTTGGGCTTTCATAAATTGGAGGCATTCAGGATGCTGCTGGACATCATTTTTAAAGGAAGCTTTAATTTAAGAGTTCAACACTGAGCAGGGCCTTATTGGCTCCTTCCAACTCTGCTGTTCTGACAGTATTTGCAACAGAAGTGCTATAATGAGAAGTACAAAGCTGGCCCAGGAAAATATATTGGTTTAGTAGCTCTGTGAGGCCAAAACAATTATGATATCTTGTTGAGTAAACAGAATTGACTTACTCTACACCTATGTCATTGTACTTTGCCCTTAGCAGATGGGAGGACAATTGTTTTTACTAATCTCGAAAAGGATCAGTACATTCCCACCCATGATCTTTTTTCCAAAGCCAAATGCCACCAACATCTTTGTTTTCTGTGAAGCCATGCACATTTAGTGTGCTTGGCTATATAGCTCAAATCAGTCCTCTAATTTGTCTAACTTGACCTGGCACACAAGGCTGTTTGCATCTCTTTTGTGTGTGTGCTCAGTTGTCTGTACAACCTTTATGGTGCAGGGACTGTGATCTCTGTAAAGACAATCATGCAATATCTTGGCATTGGAAGTGTTACTGACCTACAGTATGGGATAAAAGTACAAAATAAAGCAACATAGGATCAAAATTTTAAAAGTAGATATAAGAACAGGATAAGAACATAAGAAGAGCCATGCTGGATCAGGCTAATGGTCTATCCAGTTCAGTGTTCTGTGTGCACAGTGGCCAACCAGCTGCCTATGGGAAACCCACACATGGGATGTGAGTGCAAGAGTTCCCCCCCCCCACTAATGTTCCCCAGCACTGGGGATACGTAGGTGTACCCCCTTTGGTACCAGAGGTAGTGCAGAGCCATTGTAGCTTGTAGCCTCTGGGATACCAGTGGTTGTTTCATGACCGTACTTCTTATGTAACATTCTTGACTGAAAACAAGAGCCAAGACACACAAGCCATACACAACATGTCAGTAACTGCACCAAAACAATGGATTGCCTGGGAACTCAATGGATTGCCTGGGAGCTTGCATACAATATGTCACTAAAGTGGGCTTCATGTCAGCAAAGGACTTTGGATAGGAAGAAGCCCACAGTGTTTGATTTCAAATCAGAATCATTTTAATTGATTGCTGTGCACTTGGCAGTTTTGATACCAATTATTATTTTTCTTATCCAGGTTATTTCTTTACTGCCCAAGAGTGAAAGCTTTCATAACAATTGATCAAATTAGGATAATAAA